GTTTGGTGGGTCCTGAAGACATCCATTTTTGATAGATTTCACGGCAGGGGAAGTTACTATATTCCAAAAGTACCTACCGAGATACATGTTCTTTTCAGAAATATTAGTTATATTTAGGGCTGCCATCTCTAAAACCTGCCCCCCAGGACTGGAAGCGTAAGTTCTCCGGATTTTGGAGCTTTGGAGAAAATCCAAGTGTTCTTAGATAGCTTTTTTTATAAACAAAATGGCGGATTTTTGGCGCAAAATAGTAATACGTTAATTAAAAAAATAACCAAACCTATCGAATATCGAATATTAGTTGTGTGGTTAAATTTAATTAGGAATAATAAATTGGTTTATAAAGTTTTTGATGACTGGTATATAAAATGTGCAATGTTTGTATCGGACCTCGTGCTAATATATGAAAAATAAAGTATAGTTATTTATATCCGTTGCCAAATCACATTAAAAACGAAACAAACAGTTTTCAATTAATTTTGAACCGTATACTTTGAATAATGATTTCTTATATTTACGCGAACACTACACATTGATTAAAACTACTTTTACGGATTTTATCGCGTTTATTTTACTATTATTTTTTTTAATTCCGGACGTTTCGGGCGCTTTCCAGCACCCATGGTCACGGGGGACTGAGATGACTGACGTCCCGATGTAATTGTTAAACCCGGAGTACCTTCAGCTTTTTTTAAAAATACACAAACCGAACGCTCCATTACGTCCAATAGTGAGTCGGATTGATTCGCCAACTTACAGATTGGCTCAATACTTAGCTAAAATATTATCACCACTCAGAGGACACACAAGAGCTCACATAAAGGATTCCTACCATTTTGTCAGTGAGATAAAAGACCTACGTCTTACTGACAATGAAACCATGGTCAGTTTTGATGTTCAGTCTCTATTTACATGCCTACCTGTTGAAGACTGCATCTCAATTATAATTAGGAAACTAGAGGAAAATAATATGCCAGCAGAATATGCAGTATTACTCAGACATTGCCTTACATCTGGCTATCTATTATGGAAGGAAGAGTTTTACAAGCAAGTAGATGGTGTTGCGATGGGCTCACCTGTATCTCCCATTGTCGCCGATATATTCATGGAAGACTTTGAGGAGAAAGCCCTCCTTACTGCACCTGTTACACCAAGGATCTACAAGCGGTACGTAGACGATACTTTCACAATTTTACCATCAGACAAAGTAACTGCATTTTTAGAACATCTTAATTCCATAAACTCTAAAATTCAATTTACTATGGAGTTAGAGGCAAATAATTCCTTACCTTTCCGAGATGTGTTAGTTATCCGAAATCCTAACAACACCATTGGTCACACTGTATAGGACAAAGACCCATACAAACCGATATTTAAATGGTGAATCTCACCACCATCCTTCACAGTTCGCTACCGTGGGCAAATCTTTGTTACAGAGAGCACGAGGGATCTGTGACAGCAAACACCTGGCCGCCGAGCTTCAGCACGTCAAGCAAGTTCTGCACGACAACAAGCTTCGGGTCCCGCGCCTCCGTCACAGTGACCGAGTGATGCCGGCCACAGTCGAGCGTGTGCCTGCTGTACTACCATATGTTAGAGGTGTCATAGACAAGATTGGCTACATCTTGAAGCGAGCTTCTACTAGAACATTCTACAAGCCGCCGGAGAAGATTAGTCAGTTCCTACCATCAGTCAAGTGTCATCTCTAGTTTTTGGAATAAGTAAATATACGGATATATTATATTCTAAGACCCGGAAACTATGCATTTAACCCAGTACTGTCAACCCACCCAAAAGTTTCTGCAGTCTGAGGCACAAACAAGTGCATTTTAGTACACACAGACCACACACACGCTAATTGTAGGTGTGGTCAGTTTTCTACATCTTTTTACCTTAGTGTGCAAATGTATTGCGCTCTCAGAATACAGATTTTTTTTTTCATTTTTTCTGTATTCTTAGATTGCACGATGCCAGCTATACCCTACATTGCTACGTCACAGTCCAGGTTTTAATGTTAGGGTAGGTCGAGAGGCTGAATGGGTGTGAGACTAGGGGTTAGCCTGCAATTTGTAACATGTTCTGCTATCCTGGTACTCGAAACTAACAGTTTTCAATAGATATAACATCTAAAAACAGTAGACAGCTGTATACCAACGACTACGTATCCAATGGTATGGCATACGTGTGGCTGCTACGTCGCGGATCCCGAGCTTGAGTTACAGCCATAGCAAATTATTTGTGCAAAAATACTAACTGCTGGTTATAGGAGCCCGCTTGTATTGTGATTGTCTCTGGCAGTTCAGTATAGCCTTCGATTAACAATACCAACATTGTTGATCGTATAGCCTACCATCAACCTTGATGCGTATCAAGTGTCACATAATATGTCGGATCGCAGAGTGCCCGTGTTAACGCGGACACTATAAATATCCATATTTTATAAATTAATAGTTTCCGACGTTGTCACAGTAGTGAAAATAAAAAACCTTCTTAATAAGGGAAATAAGTATGTTATCAATGATTTTATTAGTACATTTATTAAAATGACTGCTCAAATTAAACAAAATTGCTTTAGTCACTATACAAAAAGTATTTTATTTTATAAAACAATTTTCCACTAACAATTGTAATTTGTAACTCAATTACAATTTTATTTGTTAAGAAATACGCAAAGGTAAAGGTTTTTAAAATCACACATTATTCTATAAAAATCTACGAAACACATTTACGAAATAAAAAGCTGCTTTTAAAGCACATGACTCGTTACTTGGGGCGCATACATTAATGGGTTCGACTGCAGCGAGGACTCAGTTAGCTCTGCTGCGTAGTACAAAGTCTCGCCGTCTTGCACTTCTTGCACGTATGCCAAATTAAGAAAACAATTTGATTCGGTTGAGCTACAGACGGTACGGGCTGTGCGTATCTTTCGACATCAAAACGTCCGTCTCACCAACGTGCGAACGCATGTGGAAATTTAAGTGACCACTCTGTTAAAACCTCCTCTCACATACATTGCATTCGAACGGTTGAATGTTGGTGTGCGTTCGCATATGCTGCCGCAAATGTACCTACTGGGAAAAATATTTGCAGCATATCACGCATTTGAATGGTTTTACTTTAATCCAGCTTTTTGCGTAAACGCTTTCGGACAAAAGTGCATGCAAACGGCCGTATTCCGGTGTACATACGCATGTGCTGCTATAGGCTATGCTGTAGGTCTGCTATGCTGACGATACATTGATGATCGCCAGCGGGATCACTTTCGAGAGGGCCACGGAGCTCGCCGAACTCGGGGCGGAAGTCGTCGTCGCCAAAATCCACGAGTTGGGATTAGAAATAGCGCCTCACAAGAACGAGGCCATATGGTTCCATAAATTACCAAGGAGCAGGGTACCACCCGACTCGTGTATCCGCGTGGGTGGGTCTGACGTCAGAGTGGGGAGGTACATGAAGTACCTAGGCCTCCACCTGGACAGTCGCTGGGGCTTCGAAGAACATTTCGAGCGCCTAGTCCCCCGGATCGAAAGGGTAGCGGGTGCTATGCATAGACTGCTGCCCAATCTAGGGGGACCGGAGGAAGTACGTCGCCTCTATGCGGGAGTTATACGATCCGTAGCGCTATATGGAGCGCCTGTATGGGCATCATCAGCAAAGGCTGGCCATCCGACGCTGTAGAACTAAAATCTACAGTGTTCAGCGGAGGATGGCCATACGGATCGTACGAGGATACCGCACAATATCCTTTGAGGCGGCGACTATCCTGGCTCGCTTTCCACCACTAGATATACTGGCGGAAATGGACGCGAGGGTGTACGTTCGTATCCGTGCCCTGCGCCAGAGTGGTGGTAGTGAGCCAGAAGAGGCGCTCCAATCAATTAAACGGCAGGAACGACAAAACGCTCTGGCATCATGGCGCTCTCGACTCGAGGAGCGCTATGAACGCAGACGCGTCATTGAAGCAATCCTGCCGGTCTTCCAAGCCTGGATGCAGCGACGAGCAGGAAGACTCACCTACAGACTTACTCAGATAATTACCGGGCATGGGTGCTTCGGTGATTATCTGTGTAAGATTGGACGTGAGGCAACGGCGAATTGCTTCCACTGTGGTGGAAGGGACCAGGACTCCGCTTCCCACACACTCGCAGTATGCCCTGCGTGGGAACGGGAACGGACGATCCTGGTGAACCGCATCGGACGGGACCTCTCCCTGCCAGCAGTTGTGTCGGCGATGCTGAGCGGGGATTCGGCGTGGAGGGCCGTAGCCACCTTCTGTGAATCTGTTATGATTCAGAAGGAGGCTTCAGAGCGGGATCGGGAGAGGGCGGATTCCGTGCGGAGACGACGTCACCAAGGCGTTCGTCACGGCCCTCCGGGGCCTCCGGAGTTGCAGACGCTCGGGGCGGGGGCCTCGAGTGCCTAGTTATGTAACCCCCGAGGAGGACGATGGCTCGAAAGTGGTCTCGAGACATCGTGCTAGCACTGCGAGGGTGCTGGGGGCAAAAAGTACTGCCCCTGGGACGTGCTACTAGTGTAGCAAAGCGATGGAGGGGCCCCGGTTGCGTTCCGAACGGAGATCCCGGGATCCCTCTTATACGCTGATGGTGACCACCGTGGGGTTTTAGCCGGTAGGAGTCCGGCATAACCTTTTGTTGCCCCCGCAGCGGAAGGTATCCATGAGGATTTCCCCACGAAAAAAAAACAAAAAGGCCGCCTTGTTGAGTAAACCGCTTAGAGCATATCGAACACTGATGTGGTTTAATTTTAACATGAACTATGCGATTATGCTCATCGTATTCCGCACTGTTAAAAAAGTTTTGTCCGCACATACGTCAAGAAAATGTTAAGCGTGATGTTGGGTTAATTTGCGGCACCAAAATGTTTGCACCGTAGAAGTCTCTGTCGAGCCGCCTCCCACACACTTACTACCGCAGAGCTGCTTTGCGTCTCTTTGTATGCTCCTCGCGATAATGGAGCAATTATTCTCAACAGTTGAAGAATAATTAGCGGCATTGAAGATCTGGCCTTATGGACGATGGCAACGTACACGTGAATGGTCCTCTGCAAAATCCGTAAAAGACAAACTTATAAATTAGAAAAAACTTCAAACTTTCTACTTTACCTATGCAACTTCATACCATAACTGCGTTATTAATTTGAAATGATACAAGCGAGATTCTATATTTCTTAAAGAAACACTTGTGATTGCCTTTAGGTAACATGGATAAAAAATTTTAAGTAGAGCCGAAGTGAAATGCAAGCGATGATATACCTATTACTTATATATAATTTATTTTGTGAAAACTTAACTTCACTTTTGCTACATGAGGTTTCTCGGCTCGGAGATTAAATGATAAAAAGAACTGTCCTCCTTTTGATTGTTTAAACACTTTTAAATATTTACGAGCAGTAGACAGATAGAAACTTACAAAGCGAACAAAATCGTAGTCTACTATTTGATACCTATTATCTATAGGTAACAAGTAGTAGGTAGATTATGAAAACTTATTTTTTCTGATCTCGCACGTATAGACTTCGGGAATATACTAGGTTAGAAAAGAAAATTAAGGCAATCTCTATGCACTATTTTGAATTCCACATACATCACGCAACAAAAGCATTTGAATCCAATGAACAAAAATGAAACATCCGTACCAAGCTACCGCACGGTGAATTAAAAAGAAAAAAAACACGCTACTAATAAACACCTCAAATAAACTTGTGGCTTCCCTTCCTTCATTTAATTCCGTCTTATTATTCCATCGAGGCGAAATCTCTTTAGATGGTTTGGGTACAAATCCTCGCCTTCGACTTTCACAATCAAGTAACTGGTATCTTCGACAATCTGATAAAAAAACGAAATCACAAAGCTATTTCCATATTTAAGCTACTCATTTACTACATATTATACTTAATATTTTAGTATTGCTAAGTGTTGAAAGTTGATGAGCCGGATTCCAAGGCAAATTGCGCATAATTTAATCTCAAATACTTTTCCCAAATGGACCCATGGAAGCCCATGTCCACCCGTGGGTATTTATGAGTGGATGATGAAAGCATGGTTTGGAAGTAATATAAATGTTATACCTGATTGCTACTGTGTAGTGAGGCAGAGTTTTGTCAGCTTCACTACCAGAAACGTCAACTTTGTGTTGTAGGTTCTTATGGTTTTGCAATGCGTTTGCATTATAAAATGTCTTGTTGCACAGGCGACAAACGTGACTGTCAGATTCTTCTTCATCCCATGATAATGTTATTTGCTGAAAGAATAGTTGTTATGCTTTTAAACTACCGATGCTCATTTTAATTAATTTTAATCTTAAATTAACATATTTACTTAATTGAAAGTGTACCCACATTCCTCTCGACATTAAAGAAATTTAGACGTCAAAATTAATAACTCCCCTACCTGAGCGACTTTTCTCTGAGATGAAACCTAAGTAGATAAACTTGGAAAGTTATTATATCATTAAAGCCCTTCACAAATCCGCTGCTGAACAAAGGCCTCCCCAAGGAATGCCTTAAAACACGGTTCCGAGCCATCTGCATGTATCGGCATCCTGTCTTACCAATTCGTCAATCCATCTAGTGGGGGGACGCCCACTTCGTCTGCTGGACCGAGCCTGTCACTTGAAAAAATATATAAAATTGCCACTTCAGCTTACTAATCCGATGTTCTATGTAGGTTACTCTGGTTCTACTGCGGATATCCTCATTTCTAAGTATATCACGAAGAGAAACCCCGAGCATAGCCCTCTCCTTAGCTCGCTGAGCAACCTTGGGCTTCCTCATGCGGCCAGCATTGGAGGACCACATCTCAGATCCATAAGTCGTCACTGACTGTTGTCACTGTTTGTGTCAAAAATTAAATAAACTTAAAAGAAAGCATACAAAAAGGTTTTATTTTTATTTAGAATTTAATACGAAATTCTGGATGATTATTGAAAAATCTTTAAAATCCTCTCGTCTCAACACCTGTTCATTTTCGGCCATATATATAAGGGGTCAAATTTGTAGCATTTTGACTCCCCTATCACGCCCTGCCAGGAAGTTCTAGAGTTCTCAGTAACCCTGTACGGTTATATCTTTCATTATAATGTCCTCCAGACCGCATTTCGATCACGGCGACCAGCTTCAACGGAGATAAGCCATCGGCGCAGGACAGGATTGTAGTCTCCAAGTGTATATATACACAAGCACAGGTGCGCTCTCCATTCCCTTACTCTCATAATCCGATGGGACGGTAAACCAACATGACCGGAGAGAGATCAGGCGCAGGACCAACGGCTTTACGTGCTTCCCGAGACACGGGGGTGAGACACTGCATTCATAAGGTGTTAAGAGTAACAGTTGCATAACCCCTATATGGTGTTAATGTAACTTTTACAGAATTTTGGAGTTAAACATTATTTTAACATCGTGTAAGCTTTATTCTAATTAATTTACCTGGAAATAAGTCGTGTTCCAAATTATTGAGATCTTAATGTATTACTTTCAAATTTCAACTTTTTATTTTAGAATTACCTCGAGTCAGTGGCGAAGCCTCCCGAAGAAGCCCAGAAGCCCGGCTTGCCTTATCAAGTTGAATCAATTAATAATATCAAGTAATAAAACAACTCGTAAACTGTTTCAAACTATTTCAAATTTCCCGCGCGCTCTGTTCGAACTCGTAGCCTTAGGAATACTGCTGTCATATATTATATAAAGAGAGTTGAATTGAGCGATTGGTTGTCTCTCTTGTACGCGTGGGCTTTTTACCGGGCCTTCGAGAAGACGATCGCCCCCTTTCTAACCTGTGGCAAAATATTCTATAATGAAATATAACTACGATTGTATAATTAGCAATTAGTATGGAGATAAAAAACTCGGCTTTTTAGTGACCATTTATTTTTTCCTCAGAGCGGGACGCCTTTAAAATTATTATAGTTTTAATACTTTTGACTGCCTTCTTGGTCTAATGGTCGTAAACGCAATTGCTGATCATGTGTCCTAAGTTCGAAATCCGAGTCGGGTCAAGAATCATATATTGGATTTTTCTGTCACAAAATTCTCAGTAGCGGTAGTACTACTACACTTGGGCAATATAATTCATTTTCCGTTGAGAATGGCCACCGTTATCAAAATTCAATCTGGAGCCCTTTAATATCGTTTTATAAATAAAACACATAGTTGTATGAATCTTTTAATGATCAAAAGTGAATTCTGAACATCAAATAAATACTATGTAATTGGAAATAGCTTATGTTATTTGATAATTTATTGTAGATTAATTAAAAATTGTTTTAATTAATCTACAATAAATTTACTTTAAATTCAAAAGTTTAGCTTTTCAGAATAATCACGTAACTAGTCAAGCCATGCTGGCAAACCTGGAACGCGCGGTGTCATACTGATGGCACGGGTGACAGTTTGTATAATTGTCACGCTTTTGTTTGTCAAAGCGGGACATTTTACGTATTTTGGGGACAGCGCGACACAAACCTTTAAATCGGGATCGTCCCGCCTAAAGTGGGACGTATGGTCACGTTAGGTATGAAGTTAGTCGAGAGCGGAGGCGCGCGGGCGATACCGACGATATTTTTATAAGTTTACGTCACATTTCAATGTTTACATTGTGTGTTGAGCTTGAGCGAATGTATTATATAACGTATTGCGGGCTTAAATGTATGCTATTTTAAAGGTTTTTAGTGAAAATTGAGGTAGAGTGTTCATTATGATGAATCAAAGTGTGTTAAAGTGCTAATCAGCGAGGAAAGGGTAAAATCTTTAAACTTTGTTGAGAAAAAACAGATTATATCCTCGCCGAAACCAACGCCTGATCTGTGCATTTCTTAGACGAGTAAAACCCATAAACGGCAATTTAATAGATCTGTTAACAAAACTCTTTTGAGAGCAGGTCTTATCCGAAACTATTCCGATGATATCGCGGACGTCAGTCTGAGCGAGATTAAAATGACTCTGTTCTTTAAGAAATGCGACAACGCTCTCTTGAAGAACTACAGACCGATTTCCTTTCTGAGCCGCTTCTACGTGCTGTTTTCGAGAGTCATTACGAATCGTCTAGCAGGCAGACTCGACGACTTCCAGCCTCCCGAACAAGCCGGTTTCCGAAAAGGCTTCAGTACCATAGACCACATACATACCCAGCGGCAGATTGTACAGAAGACCGAAGAGTGCAATCTGCCACTTTGCCTGGCATATGTGGACTATGAGAAAGCCTCTGATTCCATCGAAATTTGGGCGGTGCTACAGTCCCTTCATCGGTGCCAAGTTGACTGTCGGTATATCGAAGTGCTGAAGTGTTTGTACAGTAGGGCTACGATGGCTATCAGAGTACAGAACCAGAGTTCGAAACCTATCCAACTGCAGAGAGGTGTAAGACAGGGTGGTTTATTCTGCAAAAACCTTGTTTGTGTTTAAATCATGCTATCAGCGCCGCTAGCGTTGAAAAATTATTTGTCTATATTATGACTATAACATAATGAAATAGCAATGTTGTTTACTTATTTGAGCTCAATATTGTCAAACGATCACTATTCAAGCTATATTATGACATCATAAACAACAAATAGTGTTGAATTACTACGACTATTTCACGAAATGATAGACTACTTTAGGATATGATCAGTTTACGATCTGTCCACGACTATATATATATATATATATATAGGCTAATATTTCCAATATGGACCATCGATTTCAAAGCCCATATTTTTTTTTGTAAATAGTACTCACTAAAAGAAAGCGTTTTGCAAAGTTTTAGGTTGCGGAAACTTACGGTTCATGAGATATATTTTTTAAACTTTTCATACAAATTGGTAAATAACACGCAATTACAAAATAAATTTGACAAATGATTGATGTCAAACGTCAGTTACTGTAGGGTTCCGAATATTTTGAAAGTATCAATACCTATTCGATACCAAGTATCGTATCAAAAGTATCAATACTACTTGGTATCGAGTACATTTCGTTAATTTTGGAGACGAAAAATTATGACAAACCAATTAGATGCATAGGAAGAGTTGATAAGTGCAATTATATATGTATATAAAGTAGAATAAAGTTTACTCTATTTAAGTTCCACCTTAGTACTTGTATTTCATTGTTTGCAACTTGTTTGTATTTCTTAATTAGTACAGCTTTTGTACTTTTATTTTATTGTTTGCAATTTTCTGTATTATCTAATTCTTACTACAATAAAGTGTTTACTTACTTATTGGCTTACTTATTTAATATCCAAAAAGTACCCAAAACCGAATCAGAGCACCCCACTATCCACGTGGTCTTGTCTGCCCTACCCCTAGAGTGTATATAAGAGCCCGGAGGCGCGGAGGGAGAGCAGTGCCAACCCCCCGTAGCGAAGCGCAGGCACCGAGATCGCCGTAGCGGCTGAGGCTGGTCGCCGAAGGCGACCAAAAAGCCGAAGCTGCGAAGGCGAGCTCAGGTGCCTGTGCTTCCCTACGCTAGGGCGGAGGCACTGCTCATCCCGCAGCGCCGGAGCTGCCACGGAGCGCCGGAGCACAACTTCCCGGCTTCTTACCCCCCTAGTCTCCAAAATTAACGAAATGTACTCGATACCAAGTAGTATTGATACTTTTGATACGATACTTGGTATCGAGTACGTATTGATACTTTCAAAATATTCGGAACCCTACACTAATTGACGTTTGACATCAATCATTTGTCAAATTTATTTTTTAACTGGTGTAATTGCGTGTTATTTGCCAATTTGTATGAAAACTTTAAAAAAATATATCTCATGAACCGTAAGTTTCCGCAACCTAAAACTTTGCAAAACGCTTTCTTTTAGTGAGTACTATCTACAAAAAAAATATGGGCTTTGAAATCGATGGTCCATATTGGAAATATTAACCTTTTGGTGTTATATTGGGTGCAATAGCGAGCGAAGCGAGCCTAGGACATGGGGCACCCCGACTCGGACAGGTTAGGTTGGAAGGAGTAACTCGGACAGGTTAGGAGAAGTGAGCGAGCGAATAGACTCCGTCATCTCCTTCGTGGTTATTTTTTTGTAAACCACTCAGAAGCAGGAGCCCCGCTTCGCGGGGCTCCGTCGACTGCGCTTCCCTCTACTGCACCACGTTAAGTGGCGTGGGGCTTCCATCCCCCAACTCTCTCTCCCCATAAATCAGGTTAAATTGTCATAAAAATTACGAAACATAACCTCAAAATGAGATTTTTAAAAATTTATAAAAAAAAATAAGCACGTCCGGCAGAAAGTAGAAGTAGGGGGTGACTCTACAACTCTTTTCCCTCCCCCCACACCCCCTAATTCAGGTGACCGAATTGTAAACCTTACCCGTGGTTTCTTATATAGCACATATGTAAACTTCACAAAAGCTGACGAGTAAAGCAGTAATTAGATTTCTAATAGAAATATTTTTGCTTGTTTTAGGTGCCACTGGAACATGTATAAAATCATAACCCGGCTCAACACCCCAACTCAGTGCATTGTATTTGCTGAAGAGCATAGGCTCCTTCCTACAGAAAAAATGTGCTCATATCATAGGAGACCTATGGAGTTAAGCTCCAGCAGTAAGACTGGTCAGCTTGGCATATTTCGATGCAGGAAGAGTAACTGTCGCTCTAAGACAGTGAGTCGGGCAGCGGGAACATGGTTCGAGAATGCGCGGCTGTCCATTGAGTTACAATTTTTACTGATGTGTATGTTCAGCCAAAAATATAGTTATCATCAAGTTAAATTAGAGACAGCCCGTGAAGATAAAGAAATAATTTTATCAACAAGGACAATAACTGACTGGTTTTCTTACTGCCGAGAGACAGTAATAGTTTATGAATTGGAGCACCAAGAAGTTAACGGCAAGATTGGTGGTCCAGGCAAAATCGTGCAAATAGACGAATTAAAATTTGGAAAACGAAAGTACAACAGAGGGAGACACATTGAAGGCCATTGGGTGCTGGGCATGATAGAAAATGGGAAAGATGATTTGAGATTAGAAGTGTGTCCCGATAATGATATATCTGCGGAAATGTTGGTGCCACTAATACAAAAGCATGTGGAGGTAGGCTCTGAAATCCATACCGATTTTTGGAGAGCCTACGATTGCCTACCTCAATATGGATATACACATAAGAAAGTTAATCACAGCGACCCTATAAATAAATTTGTGGCACCAGATGGGACACACACACAACGAATAGAAAGCCACTGGCGAAATTCAAAAGTGATGTTCGGTAGAGAAAGTTATAAACAAACTTTACAGACTGGCTAATTGAATATTCTTGGCGAAGAAAAATAAAAATAGCACATAAAGATGTTTTCATAGAATTAATTAAAGCAATACAATATGAATATAAAATTGATTAATAAATTATGAATTTTATTTGATTTATTTTAAAAGTAACTAAATAAAATAGGTTAGGTTTAACTTATGTCGAAGAACCGAATTGGTTGACCCCGACTCCACTTGGTACAAGTCTGTCCTACCCCTAGAGTGTTATTATAGAGCCGGAGGCGCGTAGGGAGAGCAGCCTCCGCCTGCTGTAACAAATCGTAGGCATCGGACGAGCCGGAGCGGCTGAGGCGGGCGAAGGCGACCAACAAGCCGAAGCTACGAAGGCGAGGATGGATGCCTGCGATTTGTTACGCAAAGGCAAAGAGGCTGCTCTTCCCGCAGCACCGTAGACATTGCAGTCTAAAAATAGACACAGAAATCCCTCTCAATCAGTCCCCCTATTTTTTTTCTGATTAAAGGAGTTCCCCCTTCCGTAGGGGGAAACCCCCCTCCCCCAAGTTGTCCTGGTTTTTTACACTTAATATTAATCCATAAAATGAGGAAAATTTTCTCAGAATTAAAAATGAAAAATCTCGAAAAGGGGGAGGCTCCGCAACTTTTCCTTTTAAGGGGGTATTAACCCCCCCCCCTCCCCCTTCAATTCGATTGACGACAATGGAAAGTCGTACCAGAAATTTATTTATGTGTACAATTTCTTACAATAAGTATTATAGATTCTGATGTAAAAATAAAAACACATTTCAGTAAAAAAATGCATTTATTGAATAAAATGTTTTTTTTACACTTGTGGAAATATTTTTTGCCTTTCATTTGAAATATATCATCACAGTCTCTTTTCCCACTGAGTATCTTATTTATATTTTTGACATAATTGAATATGAAAAAGAGGCAAGACAAATTTAATAAGTATTAAAAAAAAATATTTTATTTTTATGTAAATTACATTGCAGAAATTCAAAATCTACATAAATTAATATCAAGGTTTTTATTAATTCTTTAATATTATCTTCATTTAAATAGTTTTTTAAAACTGAATTTGCTATGTCTTGCACTGCAGATACACATACTATAAGTGACTCAGTGGGACTGCAAAGCCACCATTTACCTGCATATTCCCGGAATTTAATCACTCCATTTTCTTGTAAGGCGATTATGTTAGCAGTACATTCGCTACAGTTTTTAAAAACATTTTTTTAGCACATCTGGCAAAGTATCCACTAACATAATCTAGTGCCCCCCTTTATATGTGGAGCACTTTTCTCTTCAATATTTATTATTTCTAAATCCGGGATTGTTTCAAGGTCACAGGCTGTAGCAGCTTTGCAGTTATCTGTGATGATAAGAGATTCTAAAAAGCCTTACAAGTGTCTTTTTCACAATTAGCACCTGGGGCATGGACACTGGACATATTGTTAATTAAAGGTGTAGTGCAGGCACTCTGAAACTGTTCTGGTGTTGGATTAACATTGCGGCACCCATGACTTCTAATGGCCCCGAAAAAGTTTTCAATAGGGTCTTGGTTGAGGTGCCGCATCTAAACTGAAGTAATACCATACTCAGTTTCCATTTTTTTTTTAAAGAATTTGTATACCATTCAGTGTCCACACCCAATTTTTGATTGTTGGTACATTATCAGCACTATTTGACGTTTTATTTATAAATTTCATATTATTTAACACAGCTTTAGCTTCATTCCACATCCTATGATGTTTAGAGTTTGGTCTTGCTGGTCCAAGAAGAGGCTTTCCATATCGTATTTTTTCTTTACTATAACTTCCATTGACGGAATCAAATACTTTGTCAAAGAAGAGGTGTACTTCAGCAGTTTCCTCACATTCTTTGGGAAGAATGCCTTTTTCTGAAAAACAAAAAGAATTAATCTATTAGTAAACACTAGTATTATCAGAGCATAGCAAGGTTTTGTGACATTTTTCTTTTCGTCCAACAGTAAACTTAATAGGCCAATTAAAGTGTACTGCTGGACTTGAAACTGTCATGCTTGGCAGGTGGGTAATTGTAGTTTTAGACGTGAACATCTTTAATGCAGCTTGTCCGTCGTCGATTTCGATATTTTACGTCTGGCGTAAAGGAGATGGTAATATCGCCGACTAAACGGAAGTCATAAGTTTCTTTGATATTTCATCTCTTATGACAGCCACGGGACAAAATGAGGCAATGTGTTCTCTGTTTTATTTACACAAATTTTTTATAGATTAAATACATAATTTATTTTAGCCATAAATACATAAAAGACTTAAGCTGAACCGAATAAAAGAACAGAAATTTGATAAATAATGAGACATTTTTATATTTAATGTTTTATAAAAGTTACAGTATGAATAGCAACCTTACTCATTTAATTACAATTTTCAGTACTAAATTTACCTAGCCTGCATGTCTGAGAAATGTCTACCAACCAGAATTTGAATCTAAACTGACATAATCTTAGCCATACTGCAGCTATAGAAGTAGTATAGTTGTAGCACGAATGGGTCGGCTCACCCTAGGAAGGACCACGCTCTCACATAATACCACCGTAAAATAGCAGCTCAACGCTGCTGTGTTTTGTATGGTGTAGTGTAGAGAACCGGAGACCCTTTTTACAATAGAGGCATTCTATCTTTATCATCACAGGTGACAACGCATTCACATTTTGATTCGTAATTGAGGACAGATGTAGATGTCTATGGGCCACAGCAACCACTTACCATCAGGTAGACTATGTGCATGTTTTTTACCCATCTCTTATAAAAAAAGGTACATTTATAGTCTGCAACTAATTTTTTTATCATACTATTCCTAGACCAACACATTGTTACCCTTATCGAATCAGAATAAGTGAGTGGAAGATGGAATATAAAATTACAATATTAAATATATTAGAATATTAAAATATTATAATAAACTATTTCTTACCTGCAAGATATCCCATATTAGATGCCACAGTACGCCTAAAAATTTGACTTGCATATTTTACCTTCATATTAGGGATCTTGGTGGGTAAAACATGATTATCTGTGAGTTTAGGTATTAGTCTAATGGTCTTGTAGCCAGGATTTTCTTTATGAAGGAGTTCAATATGTTGCCATTTGGCTGTCTGAGCTTTATTATTTACAACATATTGAAGATCCCTCGTAAGTAAGTTATTTCTAATGGACTTCAAAAGATGTGGAGGATCATATAAAGGAATAATCTCTTGATTATCAATCATTATGAAATTTTCTTTGGGCTCTTTTCCTGTTCTTAAAAAGGCACCTCGTGTTTCATTTAATAGGAACTCAATTGCTTGTCTATTATTAGTACCTGGTCACAGACTGTTGCAACCACTGTGAAACCGGCTTCTTGTAATTTTTTTACGATCGCCTTTAGATGTGTTGCTATTTCTGATCCTGAATTAGCAGCAGCAGAGAAAGTGTAAGACCTTTAACAGCCTTTTTATAATTTTTAAGAAGTCCCCGAATCATGAACACTTGTACATGATCCACCATGTCAGACTTGGTGAACTTTCCGTCAGTTACAAATCCAATAACCTTGTCTAGTCTCTCACTATATTTTAATGGACTTCAAAAGATGTGGAGGATCATATAAAGGAATAATCTCTTGATTATCAATCATTATGAAATTTTCTTTGGGCTCTTTTCCTGCTCTTAAAAAGGCACCTCGTGTTTCATTTAATAGGAACTTAATTGCTTGTCTATTATTAGTACCCTGGTCACAGACTGTTGCAACCACTGTGAAACCGGCTTCTTGTAATTTTTTTACGATCGCCTTTAGATGTGTTGCTATTTCTGATCCTGAATTAGCAGCAGCAGAGAAAGTGTAAGACCTTTAACAGCCTTTTTATAATTTTTAAGAAGTCCCCGAATCATGAACACTTGTACATGATCCACCATGTCAGACTTGGTGAACTTTCCGTCAGTTACAAATCCAATAACCTTGTCTAGTCTCTCACTATATTTTAAATTGGCTTTCAGGGCCATTTCATTAAAAAAGAAGCACACAAAGTTTATCTTCATTTTTCATTTTTTTGCTTATATCTGCTGATTGAGTGAAGATTTTATCATTAATTCCAGGTTTCACATCTGCTTGGCATAATAATTTAGCAAGCGTGCGAGGTGCTGGCAATATAAAAATATTACGCAAAAATCGATAGCATTTTGGACTTTGTTTCAGTATCGATAGTGCTTGTATTTTTTCCTCAATTGAGAAGCGATGGCCTTTGCCTTTCTTTTTTATGTTCTCTAAACTGCATTAATAATAAAATCTTTGCACTGACTGCTCCTTAACCTTAGTACGGCATTTTGCAAGTTTATTTTTTACCTGTACCAGCTTCAAGTACAATTTATTTTCAGCATGAATAGTTGCAATGGTTTTCTTAATTTTCTGACTGACAGCAAGTGAGGGTGTACGGCACTCTAGAACAATAAATACAATTAAAATTTTCGCATGTAAAATTCTACAATAATGGATAGCTTATTAAAAGATAGTCATATTGAAAAAAAAAACATAACAAAACCTCACGCCTGTCACCCGGAGGGGTAGGCAGAGACTACAGACTTCCATTTAGCACGATCCTGACATACCTCTCTCGCCTCTTCTACATCCATATACCTACACAAACATGCTCGTCGGTTAAGGGGCTTAATTTGGCCCATTTTTAATATATCGCCAATTTGGTCGACAAACTTTACCTAGGGTGTCCCTTTCCGACTCTTCCATTCACTTCTGTCTTTCAAAACATATATTTAAATTAGGTTATATTCCCCGGTTAAAACTAACATCGTGTCCTGGAGGAAAATAGCTACTTACGATTTGACAGCGCTTACCGCTTACGATCGCCATTTTGCTTACAAGCGCTTGCTAGCGCTTTTTTCTGCCAAACGCACCCAATAATAGTGTTCTGTGCCACAGATTAAGCGATGACAAATGACGTTCCGTTGTACATATGTAATTGAACAAAACGTTTAGCTTACTATGACCTACATAATTATTTTTATGACAAGAATCCAGTAGATAACAAATCAGCATAGTAGTTGATTTGATGTCTACATACTAATTGAATTGAAATAAAATTAACAACTATTCATAAAAACGTAAATAATTATAGTCTTTGAATACCAAGTCCTTTCACACACGAAATGAATCGTCATTAGGTGCGTTCTGAAACTATTATTTCCATTAACTTATATATTACTAGCGTAATTATTTCAAATAATTTTGAACTAACTTTTTTGTGGCAACTTAGAGAGCTATTATATATTATATATATATATATATATATATATATATATATATATATATATATAAGAAATGCTCGTTTAAAGGTATTATATTATATAGATAAAGACTTTGTGTTTGTAACAATAGCATATAGAAATAGCAATGTCGTAAATAAAAATCATAGAATCTTACGTATGAAGAGGGAGGGGGGTGGGTCGAGAAATCTTATGTATTCTTATATAGGGGTAAGGAGGTAAAATCATTATAACGTAATTAATGAATGACCCTTAAGTTTATTATGTATAATATTCATGTTATATAAGTCATTAATGAAAGAGTAAGCGAATTTATCATGCGCTTCCTCGTTTCATTTATAAGAAGAAATATCTTAAGAGGTGACGGAGGGCACCTAAACCTTTTTGATAACAACGTAAACAAACTACCGAAGTCAATAATTCGCCTTGTAATATAGGAAAGGTGTCAATGAAGGAGACGTGTGGTTGGTACTAAAACTTTAATTAGACTGCTTCATTATTCTACCTTAACACTAAAGTATATTAACCTGGGAGCACTACACTAACCTCCTCCCACCGACAAAAGAATAAAAAATATGCTATGACTTGATTATGGTCACATGACTAATTACATGGCTTCATCCATGCAGCGACGTACAGTATGGCGGCAGGTGCACCTTTTGTTCAAGTCATGATTGCATGATGGCCGGGCGTGAATCTCTTTGTTTTCAGCTAAGTGGCCATCTTTCCTAACCCCCACTGAGCTCACGCATCGTCAACACAAAATGTCTGCGAATGTAAACTATTAGAGAAAACGACGACACAAATGTTTTGATGTTGATATAAATTTCAAGTTATTTTGATCGCTTAGGTGCCTTATGAACTTGAATTACTGTCGCCATCGACTGTTCGCTGGATTGAGCTAAGCTGAGCAATATGATGCATCAATATATTGTGTAGAAAAAAATCTATACAGACGAAGTCCCGAATAAAAGACGTGGCTTAAAGGACAAGCATCCCAAGTCAAAATTCTTAATTAATAAAAAAATAAGTGTTTAAGTTTTTTAGTGTAGGTAGATGGTAAATGATTCCTTGGTTTTCTTATATTAACGGTCGCTTTGTTCGTGATCGGTCGAAACAAAATACAATAAAAACGGTTAAAACAAGTATTATATAGACATGGACAAAGAAAATATATCAGCCTTACCTAAAAGATTATTACTCAAGATGGTGGAGCGTCGAGCCTAAGGTTGCCGAAGTCTAATTCCCCGGTCGAACCTTAAAACCTATTACGCGAGCTATTAATCTAAGTGGACTGTATCTACTAAATGTTTCTACACTTATATAAACGACAACTATAGCATGCGGTACAATGCACTCGCTGTTCCCTAAAAACGAACTATTATTTGCCAAATCGATGAAAGGAATCCTGCTTGATTAGGAGAAAACAAAATTGGAGCGGGTTAAAATATAATTATATCAAGCAGGCAATATTATTAGGAATATTGACTCACCGGGGTGTCTTCTATGCAACAGCATAGAAGACACCCCGGTGTGCCCAACAGGGCACTATAGCTGCGACTTCTGGAACTTCTTCTGGAATACTCCGGAGAGAGGCGGTGCGCGACTATATCTCACACGAGGTGAGGCGGGTTTCCTGGAGCTCGACTGCTTACAGGCTAAAGCGGTTCTACTAGCGGTGTGGTTCCAACAACGAGCGCGGCGGGAAGAGACTGCGCGTCGGTCTCGCGTGCCTTATATATCCTCGGTTCCGATGATTACGTGATGTTCTAGTATCATCTTCTTTCCCCTCCCACCCCACCACCCCGATGTGTCGATAGGAGGGTATGAATGATATCGTTTTGGAAAGGGATAACCGATTTGGCAGCCTACCGTCAAATAAAATAAATACGAATGGTTTTCCGCGCAACCATCTCCCCCCGCCCTTGAAGGATCTCCTTCAAAATATAACTAAAACAACTAGAGCTTAGATCAAACTAACAAAATAAATAACTAACGCTAAGATTACCTAAATTCAACTACAATTTCTAATCTAGAAAGCTAATTTAAATTATGGAAGAGGCAAGGGGCACAAACGGACAACAGGACGTAGGTAAGACCCAACCGTGGTCTTAACGCGAGCTGTCCTAATTACTCCGTCGGAACCGGGAAAGACCTCTTCGACAATTCCTAACGGCCAGTGGAGAGGCGGCGTATTCTCTTTGGTGAGCACAACTACAGTTCCTACAGCTAAAGGCTCAGTCGCTGTGTTCCATTTTTGCCGAGACTGCAAAGTATGCAAGTATTCCATCCTCCATCGTTTCCAAAACGAATGCACTAACCGGTCTAATAATTTGTAGCGTGCGGAAATGCTAAGTCTGTTCTCATCCATATCTGCGGCGGGCAAATACTTTAAAGGCGTTAAATTTAAAAAATGTGCTGGTGTTAGAGCCAGCGGTTCCGAGGGGTCGCTAGACAACGTACGACAAAGTGGGCGGCTATTCATTACGCATTCAATTTGAGCGAGCACCGTACTTAGCTCTTCGAAGGACAAAATTTGATCTCCTATTACTCGGTATAAGTGACTCTTTAGACTCTTAATATTAGTCTCCCAATTGCCTCCAAAATGACTCGCGGCTGGGACGTTCAGAGACCACTCAATGCAGTTCTCGGCTAGAATGTGAGCGAACTCCGAATT